CTCAGAGAGGCAACCCTTGGTATCGATAATGGGTATGATACAAAATACTGCCTCACCATAGCCTCTGCTTGTGGTTTGTCTTCAGGCATCTGATGCCTTAGCTGACTAACTCGAGGCTTATATGAAAGAATATTGCCTTATGACTTTTGAAAAGGCACTAGATGCCTGTTTTAAAGAAGAGGCCAGAAGTTCAGTCCTCCAAATCTACCTTTGGGATGTAAGAACTTGAAAGCAACAGCCAGGAAGATATAGAAGCCCTTCCTTTTATCTGAAGGCTAGCAAAATGGCAGGTGCCTGGGGAGAAGAGAGTTAATATTCTAGTCTACATTTCTCTAGGACCTTAGCGGGAGGGGGAGTGGTCCTGATATTTACTCTTTCTGTCTCCATTTATTTGCCAGAACTTTGCACGTCCCTCAATGTGGCTGTCCACTTTCGGAAAATTGGCACATGGGTCTTTCGGCCCTTTTTGTAGTATAATTTGATAATATAACCTGAAATGATTTAGTTAGATGAAAGAGAATAGTATGCAGAAGAGAATAAGGAGAAATGAAAAAGAGTTCTTGGTATGGTAGGAAGGTGGTCAGTGTTGCCTCACAGCTGACTCTGACACAAACATACTTTATTCTCCTGTCCCTAGCTGGCCCTGTTACTGCTGCTTTCTGACCTGACAGAACAGCAGAAAGCTCTGCAGGTCCTGTGAACCTTGGTAGCCACGGGGTGGGGTCACTGCTGTGTCTGAATGCGAGGAGTGGGGAAAGCAGCTTTGGTGTCTGAGTTGTGCTGTTGGTCGGGAGGATAGAAAATGCTCCTGGGCTTGATTATGTTTGTTTATGTACTTTGCACTATTTTTTTTTCTGCACAAAGCCTACTGCCTCTTCTTGTGCTTGTTATTTCATTGGCATTAACACTGATTCCCAACACAAACGATATGATCATGCTAGACTTCACCCTATTTTCCCTTAAAAAAGGATTATCAATTTAGACTTGATCTTATTTTCCATTCAAATAAAATTCATAATCCATAAACATGGTAGAGTTCCATGAATCCCAGGATGTAAATGTTGATCTTATGGCTTTTAAACACTCTGATCAACACATTTTCATTATAACTTTATTCACAAAGATCAAATAACCACATGGCAAATTTGATAGGAATTGGCTAACTGGGGAGTTGGTACCAAGTATCTGGCCAGTTTTTAAATCAGATTAAAATTTTTTTTAAATTAAAAATTCTTTAGTGGGTATATAGCAGAGGTTAGCAAACTTTTTTGTAAAAGACTAGAAAGTATTTTATATTTTTTCAGCCACCCCATCTTTGTTGGAATTACTGGTCTTTGGTATTGTAATGCTAAAGAAGCCATAAAAATACAAATGGAAGACTCTGTTGCAATGAAGCCTTTATATAAATTAAATTTCATATAATTTCCAGTGTCACAAGATACTGTCCTTCCTCCCATCCTCCACCCCAGTACCGGGATTGAACTTGGAGCCTTTACCAGGCCTTTTAAAATTTTGAGGCAGAGTCTTGCAGTCACTAAATTTCCCAGGCAGGACTTGAATTTTCTATCCTCCGGCCTCAGCCTTCTAGAGTGCTAGGATTACAGGTGTGCACCACCACACTCAGCTTTTTCCTATGTTTAGAAACATAAACATCCTTCTCTTGCAGGTTATACATGAACACAGGAATGATGTTAATTGTGGCATTAACTTGAATAAGAAACATGGTTTTTTCATGTGGATTAGTTTAACACGGTTCTAGTGTGTCTGGATGATTGACTGACTAAAGAAGGAAGATCCACCCAGAGTTAATTAATAGTGTTGCAGCTGGGATGGAATAAAGAGAGAAAAAAGAAAGAAATCTCTCTTCTGCTTCTTTGGAAGAGCTCTAGTCTTTGCCATTGCCTTTGGGTATCCATCATCAGTCTTCCAATGCAGACCCTTCAGCTAATGTACTTGCATGAGACTAAGCAGTAAACTCCGGGCCTTTCACTTTGGCTGTGTCCTCCAGCTCTCCAGCACGCAGACAGCTTTTATATTCTTCCATACCTGACTCTGCAGGTGACTGTTGTAAACCTGCCTTGTAAAGTCTTTATATTCTTTATATATATTCTGTTCCTCTAGTGGATCCTAATTGACTCAATGGGCAGTGATCTGGGTTTGCCAGCCTCTGACCTAAAAGACAGGAATACTCAGGGAAAGAAGCGGGGGTTAGTGTGGGGCTGGCAGGAAAAATATTCAGGCAGGAAGGGAAAGCCTGTATGCAGAGAATAAAGAAGTATTTCAGGAACCTCCGTAAGAGCATTATAACATGAAAATATATGAAGCCCAATGACTGATGGAAGAGGAGAAAACAGGACATTTTAAGGATTTTGATTCCTTAGAGCAGTGGAAAACTACTAAAAGTGGTTTTAAAGAACTGATGAGTGCTCTGTCTTTGAAAAACAATGGGCTAATGTTTGGAGAGTAGATCACAGTAGATCACAGAGGTATGAATGAAACCAGATCTTGAACCATCTTTTCTTCTGTGTTTCCTTTTCCCCCATTTCATACTTTAGTAATCAAGATCTGTCCTGAAAAGTTGACTCCTAACTTCTCCATCAAAAGAAAACCTGATACCCCCACATAAACATATTTAATTTTTGGAATGTCTCCATGATGCTTAAATGACTTATGCAGAAATCTGAAGGACCAAGAAGCCCCGTGCCCTGGTTCTTGACCTCCTGAATCAAGACTGTTTCCTGCTGTATTTCATGCTGTTTAGATGGATCAAACCTACTCAGTCCGCAGAGAAGCAGTTGGGGCCTTTTATGTAGACAAAAGTGTGGTCAGGAGACCAGGAAAGGAATTTGAATTCCTATTCAAGTTAGCCACTTTTATGCGGTGCAAGACACTTATGTCAGTGTCCACAAAACTGTTTAGTAAGAGATGGATATAACTCTCTGTCTACTTCTAGAAACAAAAACTTTATATAAAATCTTGAATTTATGGGAAGGGATGCGTGGAGGGAGGGAGGGAAAGCTGGTGCTGGCCTGTTCTTTCACTGATTGCTTTCCCCCGTTCTTCAACTGCCTGAGACTTAAGTCCTCTTCAGCTTTGGTGACATCATCGTTGGGATGTATATTTGATGGCTAATTTTTCTGTACCAGAGTACTTACCTCCCTGTTTCTAATCATTTAACAACATACACTCTGACTCTTCCCTTCCTTTTTTATTTCCCTGGAAAGATACAATGAGTAAAGACTCATTGATTACCACCCCCCCCCAAAAAAAAAGTGCAAGCAGAAAAACCAATTAGGAGACCTGAGAAGTGGTCCAGGGAGGTGAGTATTTCTACTACAGTATATTCAGGTAGTCATGGTCAGCTTTGTAGATGGCCAAAGACACAGCCAGTGGAAGCAGAGCAAAAATGTAAGTGCTGGCCTTCTTACTTGAACCTAGTGTCTTGTTCTATGGCTTGGAGTTCCGTATATTCTCCTTTGCAGATTAACTTCATCTCACTCTGCCTGAACTTCCTGCACTGTGCCCCTCAACACTTCTCAGCTTTTGTCACGGTTCTTTTCTGCTAGGGGAAACATTTATAAATGAGGATATTGCTTCTACAGTTTGCATTGTTAATTTTCATTTCCTGAGGAAATTTACTTTATCATTGAGGAAAAGAGCTTCATGTTCAAATAATTAAAAGGCCAAAGATGATACTGTGGTAATCACTTTACATTATTCCTGTGAAGACATTGGAAAGGTGGCTAAGTGCTTACCTAAGGGTCAGCTTTCCTTATAATCTGTGTCTTTTTCCAATCAGAATTGGCATATTGTTTTCTGCCTTTGGAGGAATGATTTGTTGGCCTCAGAGTCGCACTCTGGTTTCTGACACTGGCAGGCATCTCTGGATCTGAGCACCCATCCTTTGAACAATATATGCCAAGGGGTTGGAGTCTCTTTCTGTGGGGCCAAGGTCTGGGGACAGGGGAAAAGGGTGAGGGGGAAGAGAATCTCATGACTGAGGAAGAAGCATGGTGATAATTTTGCCCTACCAATCCTGAGAGTTATGCCTTACAGATAGTTGTGGATGGCTGACCCACAATGGGACATTAGGAGAGGGGCACTTCAGAAAGCTCTTGCAAGGAGAGTGCAGTGGTGGTGACTGCCTGGTGAATTTTAGTTTTGAATGGTGTTTCATTTAAATTTCTCCTAATATGACTGCTATGTGTCTACTTGTCTAATTCCTCGTTGTGAAGGAAGGTCTGTGGGCCCCAGTCTGTGTTCACATGTTTCTGTCCACCCCACAGAGAGCACTCTTGCACACAGTAGGTGCACAGTAACTGGACACAGGCTGTGTTGACTTATGTCTTGGAATCCAAGCTTCCCAGTTCCATGTCTTCCAAAGAAGTCAGAATTTTATAGCCCCAAATAACACCAAAGATCACGCTTTGGAAATCCTGAAAACATGACAAATTTAAGGAGTAAGCCGTGAGCATAGGGGTCCTTTACTGAGGATCTTGTTCCATTATGCAGCTTTGGCTGTCCATGTCTCTTTGCTTAACTCTATTTTGTTACGTTTAAGCCGTGTGTCTTTAGTGATATAATAGATACGTACTCAGTTCATTGTTTACACTGACCTTACTTATTTTCTGCAGATGATTTACATACACAGGTACGTGTGTATGGTTGAAGTTGTGTTCTCATATTTTTAACACACTTTTTCCCTCCTCTTTTTTCTATCATTAGTTATTGAACATCGGTTACATGTCATGCATTGAAGTAAATTCACAAAGAAAGATGATGTATCTGATTTCAAATATATTGCAGACTAGTGAAGGGATAAAAGATAATAGCCACATGGTATAAGGTGTTGGCAAGTGCTGAGAACCTTTTCCTAACCCAGGGGATAGGAGCTCCTTGAGGCTTTTATTCTTGAATTTCTGACTGTCAAGAATGATTAGAATAACTGCAGTTGTGAATGAATTAACAGGTTTTGCACTTGCCTTTCTCTGTTTGTGCAGGGTGGAGATGTCTGCCCAGAGGCTAATTTTTAACAGAACCTTCCAGCAATCTGTGTCTAATTCAGATTACACTTGGGAATATGAATATTATGAGATTGGACCAGTTTCCTTCGAAGGACTGAAGGCTCATAAATGTAAGTCTTACACAGTTCTCCACTGTGATTACTTCCCTTGAACCATCCATCTTCTTACTGAACTCTGTCTTTTATCTCTCAAACCTCATAAAACACCCCTTCCATGCATAGACTAATTGCTCAAAGATAGTATTATGTGGGGACCTTGATGATTCTGATTGATGAAAAACTTAAAATATTTCTTCAGTGAGAGAATGTGACTCTATCAATCTCAAACAGTGGGGTTTTTTTTTAAGCATCAATTACCCCATCTCCCCCAAACTATTAATATTATACTATCAAAAATATGTACAAAAATAGATTCTAGAATTATTATTTGAAGGATCTTCTTTTATAATGCAGGGTCAATAACATCATTCAAATCCAGTCGGTTTTCTGGAACCGTGGACAGCAGCCTGTATGTCTTAATGACACACAAGAATAGCCGATTACAATTCCTAATTTCACGTTATAGGTATCAGTTCTCTTTCATGTAATTGAGGTGACTAATGATTTGGCATAGAACAAAGAATGTAATTCTGTGAGATATTACTGTTCAACTTGTATCCTAACCTGATGCTGCCCACACAAAATATCCTTGTTTTAAGAGAAAGGCAGGAATTTTGCCCAATGTCTTGGCTATCCCATAAACATTCCTGAGATGTTTTGTTATCTTACACTGAGTGTCTAAGCACTGCACAAACTTTGGGTTACAATTGTCCAAACTGATGGGACACACTGAGAAGCAGAAAAGGTGTTAGAATCAGAGATACAGATGCAGCAAAGGAAGTTCTCTGTCTTTTAGTTATTTCTTGTTAGTTTCTACTCTACTCTGTCTTGGCATTTTGGATCCCCTGTCCCCATTTGTTGCTCCCACTTGTTTAAGGAGTGGCTTTCTGTTTCTTGTTCCTTAAGCAAAAGCCCTTAACTAAATCATATATCCTTCATCTCTAACGCAATTACTGAATGGATTCATTCATCCTTTATTGATGCCTTGTTAGTATTTAAGGGAAGAAAACGTACACAAAACCATTAGAATATGCTGTCATTGATGAAAGGCTCTTGTGCTCTGTGTATGAAATCATCCTAAATTCACTTAATTCATTCTTTTTTTGGGGATAACTTTTAAGTAAGGATGCTTGCTTATTATAAATTATAGTAAAAATTAACATGACAAGGAAAATCGCCATTTATTTCTCAGTAATGTGACCTTTTGCATCAACTTTATTTATTTTTTGGCCCGTTTGATCCTGTCTCTTTTCCTTAAATTAGGGACGGAGAAGACAGGGCCACTGTCATGATTTAGGTTGGTGAGTGCATCTTCAGAAACAACTCAAGAAAATATTGTGTGAGCATATTATATTCTAGAAATGACTGTGGCTTTTTAAAAAAGTTGTGTGAAATGTAGACAGTGCTGTGATACTTTAACAACTATACCACTAGTGAGGACTGCTTTGGTTGTGACATTCCCATCATGAAAATACAAAAATATCCCAGGTAGTATTTCCTGTTCTGCTGTCACAGAACTGATATAAGTAAATGTTGTTAGTGTCAAGAACCTGACAATATCAGACATAGAACAAACTATAAACCCCAGATACACAGGAAAGTGAAAAAATTAAATCCATTATTGGTACTGTCTCCTCCATTTAAAAAATCCATTATTCTAACCTTCAAGTGTGGCATGTTGTTTTGCTGAGGAAAATGTAAAACTGATTAGCTGAAATTTCAAAAGAACAGGAGAAGCATATTTCAAAGAGAAGCAGGAATAGGAATATATACGCTGTACCATAGTATTTTTGAGAATAAGAATATCTGTAACACCTTCATTAATGTATCTTGCCATACTTGGAAACGATAGCTACATCTTTAGTTAAAGTAAGTTCCTCTGTCTACTAAAATGAAAATTCCTATATTTTTGGACTCTGGGAAACAGACTCCTATAGTCTTGTGAATTCATCTCTTGTCCTTAATTTTGATGTATTAGAAGTGAACATATATTTGATATACATTTGGAACCAGCAGAGTGGAAATCCATGCATTCATTTCTTTAATGCATTTGTTGAGCACCTATTTTATGCAACACTATTTTAAAGCACTGGAGATACAACAGTGAACTGAAAAGGTAAAAATACTATCTTTGTGTGGAGGTTGTATTCTAGTGAGAGATAACAGATTGGCTAAATAGACTATGTCAAACGGTGACAAGGCTTACAGAATGATGATGTGGGTTGTGGAGGTAAACAAATAAATAGTGTATCTATGTAAAGCCCTTTTTGAAAAGGAGAAACTTGAGAAAAACCTGAGAAAAGTGTGAGATTAATCCATAAAATATATTACGAAAGCACATCCTGGAGAAAGCTCTATGGCCAAGAATCTGGCATATGCAAGGAATAACATGGAGGCCATCATGGTGCCAGAGTAAATAAAAGGCAAGTGACAGCAGGAGAGGTCAGAAAGGTCTGGGGACAGGACAAGCTGTCCTTAAGGTCGTGCTAAGAACTTTGGCTTTCACGATGAGATGTCCCTTAGGAGTTTGGAACAGACAAATAGTCTCTGTCTTAGGTTTTGGTAGGATCATTCTTCAATTGAGTAGTAACAGTGATGAAATTGGAAACAGAGACCAGTCAGGAGGCTGTTACCATAGTCCGTCCATCCAGCTAGTGATGGTGGTTTGGCAGGGTGGGGGCAATAGAACAGTGAGAAGTGTATAAATTTTAGATATGTTTAAAAGATACATCTGAAAAAGATGTGTCATTGGAGTGGGAGCAGGTGCAATAGAGAGAAAAGGGTTGGAGATGCTTTGGAATCTGTGGTCAGAGTAACTGGCAGAGCAGAATCACTATTGAGTGAGATGGAAAAGAGTAAGGAGGGAGCAGGCTTTAGAAAGGAGCATGAGGGACTCAGTTTCGGACCTGTTAATTTAAGACACCTCTCAGCCATCCAAGAGGGCTTGGGGAGAGGTGTGAGGCGAAAAGGTTACAAGTGTCCCGCTTTCTGTTGCTGTTATAAAATACCTGAGACAAACTTAAAAGGAGGAAAACTTTGTTTTGCATCATAGTTTAAGAGGCTTTTGATTCATGCCACTTGGTCCTGTTGTCTGTAGGCCTGTGGAAAGGCAGTAGTGCATCATGATGGGAAATACATATTGGAAGAAATTTCTTACTTCATGAATGCCAAAATGACAACAGCAAAAACGGAGGGTCAGGGACCCTCTGTTCCCTTCTATCCCCTAAAAAGATATGTCACCAGTGACCTCACTAGGCCCTACCTTCTAAAGGTTGTACCATCTCCCAGTAGCTACACAGGTTAGTAACCAAGCACTTAGCACTTGTCCTTTAAGGTCATTTAGATCCACAACATACTATTCCCTTTTGACTTCCAAAGGCTCTTTTTGGTGTCATAATGAAACATGTATTTAGCCTATGTCAAGAATCTCCAAAATCTTAGCAGTTCTAACATACTCTAAAGTCCAAGTTGAAAGTCTCCTCTGAGACTCAAGGCAAACTCTTAGCATTAAGCCACTAACTTTAAGCCACAAAACAAGTTACATACTTCTAACTGGTACAGAGTATGTATTGCTATTCCAGAAGGGGAGGATCAAGGGAAGAAAATAGAAGGATTGGGCCAAAGAAAGACTCAAACAGCAGGGCAAACATTAAATCCTATAGCTTCATATCATTTTTATCATTAATGAGGCACAATGCCTGACACCCACGGTTAAAGGAGGAAAGGTTTGTTTTGCTTAAAGTTTATAGAGGTTCTATGCATAATTGGCTGGCTCTAAGGCTGGGTGACATGGCTGGGGGGCAACCATGCATAGTGGCAGAAGACAGAAAAAGCAAAAGAGGAAAGGAAGCCTCTTTCTGTCCCTTATATTGTATGTAGTTTACTGGGATTAGGGCAATGCCAATGCGATCAGTGAACTGATTCAGCAATGACTTACCCTTAATCCCAGCACCCATAATTCTAGCATTGAACCATGAATCAATCATGTAGTCCAGATTCAGCTACCTCTGAAAAGTCACATTTAAAAGTACATGAGACATCCTGGGTAACAGGCCAGCTGGAAGATAGTGAGATTGCACTGTGCCTGTCCATTAAATCCTGTAGGATGGACCAACTAGAAGACCATAAATTTGGATGTTGGGCTCCTCAATTACATCCCTGATGGCAAGGCTGACTGGAAGCACACAGACATGCACACACACCTTTGGAGGGCAAAGTAATTAGTGAGAACAATAATATGGAAGTGTCTGAAGCCCCAGTGAGGAGAAAGCAGTTGGACTGTGGAGAAATCCACTAACAGAATTCTAGTCCCAACCCCCACATCCAGAGGCCAAGATCAGCTCCATACCTAGCATATCTCAGGGATATAACATGGATATTATCACAAAACTGTAGACACCAGAAAAAGGTGGGTTTCTGTCATAGATACAAAGAACCAACTACATCTGAAGGACATCCTTGAGGAGCAGAGCTCACCTTTCCTCCTTGAGAGAGGCCTCAATGGTAGTGGTAAAACTATATATCATGGGAGGCAGGAAAGCATCAACATAAAAGGCAAAAATAAAAGAAAAAAAGAGAAGGTGGAGAATGGCAAGATGCAGAGATGTGGTGCGACCCCAGAGTCCTAGCCCACCCAGGGCAGACCTGGAACTCAACGAGATGGATAAAATGGGAAATCAAACACTAGAATTGTCTGAGAAGATAACAGAAGTGAAAAAACAAGTGGGAAAGCTATAGAGAAAATGATCTCTCAGGTTCAAAAAGAAATGATGCTTAAAATCAAAGATATTAGAGAAGACACAAATAAAAGAATAGATGATCTTAGAAAGAGATGGAAAAAAATGCCCAATGTAGGAGAGAAATGGAACCCATGAAACAGATCCAGAGATCCAGGAGATTAAAACCTGCACTGAAAGTATATGCAACAGATAGAACAATGGAAAGCATAGAATTCCAGATCTTGAAGACAGCATTGCAGCTAATGATCATGAAAATAAAGGGATCTTAAAAAT